CACTGACTTTTGACTGGTTAACAGGGAGGTAAACAGAATGTTAATGATAGACACCTACTTCTGACTTGTTAACAGTGAGTCGTTTTCCTTCTCCTTCACTCGTAACTTCTTTACAATGTTGTTGCTTTGTAGCTGCTGTTTAGATAACTTTTCACCTGTAAAAAATGTCAAATGGCATTCAGCTGATCATTTTCATATCAAAAGTCTCTTGAACCACCTAAGACAACAATATTTTCGTAAAATTAGCTCTTGAACCAACATTCCTAGGAGCAGCAAACAAATCTCCAGATATATACAATCTCAATGAAAAACTGGAAATCAAATTATCATAACAAAACCCTATAATCTGGGTCTGACAGATATTTGTATAGTGTAATCACGATTTCAGGGAGATAATTTAGTAGGTTTGTACCTTCCTGTAATAGTTCTGCTATCTGTTGATCTTTCTCTTCTATTTCTGACTGGAATCCTCGGACTCTGAAAATGAAAAACAAAATTTAAAATAAAAGCCGACTAAAACCTCCAAATTTTCTAAACTTTCTAATGAAAACTTTAGACAATCTTCCAACTAATAGCTTTAGAGTACAAATTAAGCTTTGAAATGAAAGCTAAGTTTTATTTCTCTAATTGTAAGCATCCAATATGCAAAAAAAACAATTTTGAACTTTCTTTCTGATATTTTGCTTATTGTAAAATAGGCAAACTTCAAATTAAAACATTTATGAGGAATAGTGAGCACGTTGTTATGTTTTATTTTCAGTGTTATATAAAACTAATGATCACTCAAAAGTTTCTTACTTTTTAGCAAAATCATCACAAGATTTCTGTAGGTCTTTCCTTGCTGTATCTCTTTCCTGCCAATACAAAAAGGGACCAGTTCAATTTCTGTTAAGTATAAAACTTTTACTACGCACATACAGATACATACATTGTTAGGTTTGTAGCATTACTAAAATAGGACAGTTTATGGTCATGTTGAATTTACAGACTGAACTTATTGCAAAAACCAGGTAATGCTGAGAAATACTAATCTCCCATTCAGTGTTGAATTTAAGGAATAACATGCCTTAATTCTGAATACTGACATATTTGCCTGATCAAATTCTACTCTTTGTGACATCAATAAATAGTACCTTGACCTTTGACCATTGAACCTAAGAAGCAATTCTAAACAAGCATTTCCCAAAAAGATGCAGTGACTCATTAAGTTTTACTTTTACCAGCATAAGAGAATATTTTAAGGTTCATGACAGGTGAAAAGTTTATCTTCCATTTTGATAACTTGTACACTATGTTCTGTCACCTTCATCAGACAAATGACTGAGTATGTTAACTAACATGTAGAAGATGACAATAATATTGACAAGGCATGTCAGCTACATTATAAGTGTATGTACACTTACAGCTTATACATCTAGCCAAATCAACTAGATTTTATTGTCATCATCTACGGATGGACAGGGTGCAAAGTTAAAGTACTCTCTAGCAGTACTGGTGGGGGACTAATAACAAATATATACTTAACATATTGACCTTCACCTTGGTTACTCAGAAAGGTTACAAATTGAAAAGTACCCGTATCACACTGTTTAGTTTTTTCTCAGACTCTGCAATTCTACCGGCAAACTCTGTGGAAACCTTGCTCACATCCTCCAATTCAAGTTCTCGCGTTTCTTCCAGCTGCTGTATCTGGCTGTAATGGAGGATGTCATAGTTACAGTATAAATAGATCATTTTTTAAGAGAAAGGTGGAGTATATGCTGGATTAAAACTTCAACTTCAATTAAGATAAAAATTCATGATCTTTAGAGCTAAACATGTATACAGTGGAAAGATGTAACATTTACCAATTACAGAGTACATATAAATACACATATTTTATGCAAATAGAAAGTAGATATGTATAAAGGTTTGTAAAAGTTTAAAGAAACAATTGAAATGTTCAGTACATCAATTACTTTTTTAAGAAGCTCTTTTGTCATCCCATTAATAAGAGAAAGCACAATATCTAACTGTTTTGCAGGTACATGCATATTTCAGTGACACAGATTCAATTTAAAATGGTGGGATAAGATAACAGTCACTAACACCAGAGGTTTCACTACTACTTTCAAAATATTTCTATTAAATGATGCAATTTCTCTGCTTCTTTGTCTTGTGTTCAGTGTTAGATCCCCTATATAAAATATTGACATGTGAGTTAAAAATTAAATCGATAAAGACAACAGCATTACTGCTTGGACGTAGATATGTGGTACTTACTTGCGTAAGATACTGTTGGTCTCTAACAGGTCGTTGTTTTCCTTACTTAGCTGTACCAGTTTACTTTCTCTAGCCAGGATAACTTCTTCCATTTCTGCCATTTTCTGAAAAACGCACCACACACTAATTCTTAAGATTAGTTTATCACATGTCAATTTTAATAGAAATATGAAGTCCTTCCTTACAAAGCATGTCATCTACATGTACATTGCATGCACATACAAAGCTATATACATGTATGTTCTTCTATAATCTTAAGTAAAAGAAATCATGAAGTTGAAGAATGTAACGGAAAATTTACTTTAAAGGCACATGTCTGATATTTTACAAGATTCTTGTCAATCACTACTCTCCAAATAGCTCAAAGTTACCAGGATGTACCAGTTATTTACAGTCATATCAGATATCTTGCCAGTTCAAAACAATGTTTAGAATTTGACATTCAAACTTCAATTATGAAAACTTGTTATTAGATAAAAGAAGAAGATACATACTGAGTAAATACAATATACAAATAAGGTTTAAGCTGTGTTCAAAAACTTGTAAGTTATGTAGTTATGATAGAATTTGTATCAATACTTGCTTCCTCATACTCAGTGAAATAACTTTTTATTTCTCAAATTGTCTAACATTAGGAACAGTTATACGAGGCTGTTAAAGTCAGCTCAACCTAATTTGACCTTAATTTTACTTAGTCATTAAAACCTTATAAAAGTAAAACATTTTGTTGATGTTAAATTTATATCTTCTAGATCTGGAATCAACATTAAAGATAATCATCAAGTTATTACTTCCTATTACATCGTTACAGATACATATAACTGCAGCAGGTCTACAGAATGTTTAAGGTTTATTTTCAAAAACACACAAACATCTTTTTGTATTAAAGTTGTAATGCAAATTTGTTATTTTTACTATTTGAAGCGTAAACTGAAAACAGTAAGAAATAATTAAGAGAAAAAAGTGTTTCAAATATATAAGTCCAGGAAATACTCCCATATATCGTTGTTAGCGTGTTAATCAGTACACTGCAATCCTGTTTAATTCACAGGTTTTATTACTGGACCTACAGCGTTTCTCAAAACCAACGAACATTTTCAGTTTGATAAAATATTTCTTTGCTGGATTCCATGAAGGTTTCCACAATCCATGGACTGTGACACATCGGACACTGGATACTGTTCAACAAATAGTTGCGTATTTTTACAGGGGATTTTTTTATTTCAGGAACGCAAAATGAGAATTCAAGTACCATGTATTGTGTTTTTGAGAAGATATCAGCACACAAAATATAAATATTTAATGCCAGGTACCCCATCATTGCTGAAGGGCAGGTGGTGAGATCATCAATTATTTCAATCTTATTTGTATGAATTGGATAATGATAATTAAACAAAAAATGAAGTATAAACTTGCCTAAAACAATTAAGCAAAACAGAGGTTGAGAGCGAGATTGAATTCTTACACCCCGGATAACTAGCAACTATAAAATATGTGTACATATATATTCATATTTTTACCATGATTATATTGAAAATCACCCAAATGATACTCTAGTCTGTCGCTGTTTTAATATGCATGTATAAGCACTTAACTGATAGTAGAGCATTGATCATTATTCCCTAAAACTGAAAACACTTTGACTTAATAGAAACACATGTAGGTACCAGCATTTTAATAAAGACCAAGTTTTGTTTTAGATTACACAAACTAAGTAAACTATATGAACAGCTTGTATTAGGACAATGACCTTGTGGTACAACAATGACATTGTGGTATAACAATGACCTTGTGGTACAACAATGATCTTGTGGTACAACAATG